GTGTGTGTGTGTGTGTTGTGTGTGTGTGTGTGTGTGTATGACATATATACATATATATATATATATATATATATATATGCCGTGCGTGTGCTATGCATGTTGCTGTGTGACTGTAAGTGTATATATATGCACAAACACATGCATTCAAACACGCTCTTAGTTTCATAGTGTGTTTCATATACACCATATATATATATATATACGTGCTCTTTTATTTTGCAATTTTCTTGATCAGTGTTTAAGATAGTATATGACCCAATGACTGTGTCTATTGAAATATGCATTTAAAATACGGAATCATTCTCAAGAATCATTCTCAAGGAATCATTCTCAAGACCATTCTTCAAACCAACCTAAAATAAGCGGGCTGAGATACAGGCCCATGTACTTACCTCTCGTGATGTTGATAGATACGGTTGAATGTCTTGCTCTTGGGCATCCGCAAGCACTGAAGCTGACCCCAGACCACCTTGCAACGAAGGCCTTAATCCAAAACTATTCCTAGAACTAGAACTTCCGCTTCCAAGTCCATCGCCACGGCCAAAAGAAGATCGACTTGACGAATTCGATAGATTTGGGGACAAGATTGGAGAAATCTTCCCCGAGAAGGGCATGCGGAGGTGTGGCTGAGACATATTATCCTTAGCAACTGGAAACGTAGTTGTATTACTTCCTCGATTTAAAGTAGATATTTAACCTGATACAAGAACTATACGAGTGTGTGTAGGTGCTAACACGTTTGCGGTCCTCTACAACACGTGATATGTGATATTTACATACATACCATGATGTCGATACACGTATTTATATATATCCTGTTCTAGAAAACACAGGAATATATAGAGAATTTCCTATAAACCCTTCGTTTGGACGCTCTGCTCTAGTAGAGTAGAGGACACTAGTAGTAGACTAGAAGACGTAGTAGTTCGAACTTCGATCCCCTCTCATTATTTTAACACAATTTAGAGGGTCATGAAACTCTCTCTTCTCTGTACAGTATTTTTATTTATTTTTTTATCGAGTGTTTATTAGTAGAAGTAGTAGAGAGTAAAAATGAGGAACCCGTGAGATGATGAGAAGTCATCACTCACGTCTCATTTTTTAAATAGAGCCATTATTAGAGGTTGAGAACGTGAGAACTTGTGAAGAACTGAAGACTGAAGACTTCTTGACTAATAAAATATTTTAAAAACATATATTGTAATTGAGGTCTCAGACTCTCAGGCCAGCCCTCAGGACACTGAGGTCAGGGCTTGATGAGGCCTGAACTAGTAGGGCCTGGACTCTGGAGCCCCTGACCCTGATTCGAGTTGCTGAGTTGCCTTCCTCCGGCCTCCGTATCACTACAATCCTCAATCCTCCGCCCTCCGGTCGTGGTGAACTGGATCAACTGGAGTCTTTTTAAATAGGAGCCGTGAACCAAAAAAAAATGGCTTTAGGAGATGGGAGATTATTACTATAGAGGTTGACCCAGAGGTACTTTAAAAAGCAATCTCATTGGCCGTTATGGCTTAATGACCCAGTTCTGTTACAAAATGAAATACTTCAATACTTTTGAACCAATAGTCCGTTCGGTATGATATTTAGCGTACGTTTATTACTCGTCAATAAAAAGAATTTAAGCTATCTAATTGCCAATTAGGTTGATTTTAAAGATTTCTCACGCTCAACCTCTATACGAATGAGAGTTGTGAACAAAACAAATTATGCCAATTTGTTTTGTTCACCACTCCTATTCTTATGTCTTTTAAACCCCTTTTTTTTTAAATGTTTTTTAGTAGACTAGGTAAATGAAAAAATGAAAACAATATATACAAGTGACTATTCTAAAATTAGACTTGATGTCGCCAAAAATAGATTCTTCTTATCTTTGAAAGATCTATATTTGCCAGCAGCTGGGCCTGGCAGTCTGCGAGGAATTGCGTTCACACACTACACAGCAGGGAACAGATAGACGATTTGTTCACAAGCTCTCAGGAAGGTCAAAATTGGATCAATTGAAAACTTCATACATATCTTCCATGGTTGATTACAGTCTACTTTTACAGTTTCAGCCTCGTTTTCAAATTCACAATAGACTCTTTCTAGTCAACGAAAGCATATAGTGCAAATCGTGTAATAATATATATTGAAACCATGTCCGCTCCAAGTGGTCCTAATGCTACCGGTTCAGCCCAGAAAAGGAATAAGTAAGTTACCCTGATAAATCATAACTATATTCAAAGAACAGACCCAGTAGTTGCTGAGGGTTAACATCTCGTCTACCCTAGTGCGCACTTGTATGTGTTCAAACATACGTATAG